AATAAACAATTAAATAAAAAAGTTCGAAACACGAGTAACAGTATTTACTCTACAGCAACGAAAGACACGAGTATTCGCTTGCAACAATCTTTCATGATAACACGTACCGAATTTACGTAACAAAGATTGCTCGGAATTTTATTTAACGATGCCGTCATTGAAATTAATTGTACAGCATGATCTTCGCTGTTATGCCAAATATCATCTGCACAATTGGAAAGACGATAAAACCGAATACAAATAACAGGCAGATATATACGCTGAACAGTTCAATCATGAAGACGAAGCATCGAACCATCTTGTGTCGAACGTCATTACTGCTTCTTATGCTAATTATTTTGTCCAAAATAAATCGTAAAACATACAGAAAAATCTGAAAAGAATCAATTTATAATCGTTTAGTTCGTAGCAAATAAAAACTACGAAATTCGAATGAAAATAAAAGTTGTAAATATTTGTCACTAATTGTTCGTTTTTAACAGTACCTCTGCGACAGGTATCATGTTCAACATCACGTATAATAGAGCGAGAAGGGATCGACCAGTCGCCTGACCCATTATCTTGATGAGCGCCGAGAAAGAATATTCTGTCCTTGGAATGCCATAAGATTCTTGATAATTAGCCAAACACTCTCGAATATTCTGTAAATAATTTATTTTCTCAACTTTTGCAGAATCTTTATCATGACTGTCGATTTTGTGCCAGACGTCTTGCAACATGTTCGTGGAAATATCATTTTCTACGGAAAAGGGGGTATTTAATATTTATTGGAGGTATTTTTCAATTGTATAATAAACACGCTTATTAAAATTACCAGAACAGAAGATGTCTCGATGAGATTGATCCGTTCTATTAAAATTTGAAGTACTGTAAAGAGTTTTTAATTTCGAATTGAAACTCGCAGGTTTATGGACCATTTTTTCTGGCAAAAAGTCCTTAACAGGGTCCTCTTCGTATTTCCAATCACCTACTTTGTAGTGTAGTAGATTTTCGTCCTCATTTTTAATCATGTTTGCATTATATTTTTCCTTGAAACGTGGATAAGAGCTGCACGTGAAGTGACTTTTCGTATAATTCCTTTCTATCTCGCATTTTTTTCCTTCCATAAACTAATGAAATATGAAAAAAGTATGCATTGATGTATTACATTATAGGTGTTACACTGATTTATTTAACTAATAAAAAACAAAACTTTAATTTAAATGCTGTTTGTATTGGTTCAACAATTCTATTTTATAAATTAATTAGATGAACACAACGATATAAATTAAATAAAATTAAAATTATTGGTAATAATTGTAGGTCGTTGAAAAGCACTTCTCTTCAAATTCTAGTTATATAAATAAAATTTGAAACAATTCTAACTACATACTTATTTTCATTAAATTCCACAATATACCCGCAGAAAGCGAAATAAATAAAATATGAAGAATATTTAAAAAGAAAATTTATGAAGAGTTGGAAACAATATGCAGAAAAATTCAGTTTATTCAGTTACTTATTTACTTGCTGGTTATGAAAAAGACATTTATTTTCCAGGTGCCACCTCTCGCTGTAATCAGACTTTGGTACAAAAGCGAAACTGTTCTGTCTTTGCATATTTTTCATGTTCAACGAACAGGATACATGGATCGCACTTGGACCTCCCTCGGTACGCATAATTGCTAATTTCCAGACGACACACGATTTAACACCGATTACAATTTTTCTTGTCGTAACAACGACGAGAAAGATCAGCTAATTTTCATTTCTGTGTAACCAAAAAGTCAATGTTCACAATTCAAGATGAAAGTGTGAAATTATCTGTCATTATTGTATCACTTGACAACGAAGTGTACATTGTGTGTTATATCGTGTGAATTTAGTATTTAGTATGGTTTGTAAATCTGTTAAGACCTCCAATGGTCACTGAATAATTACCCCCCTACCTATGCTGTTCAAAAACATACATTCTCCACACTCTAGCTGTTCGAATACGCGCAAGCTATAGCGTAAGCAGGAAACGTGATCAATCGAGTTTACAGTTCGGAAAATGGTTTCGAGTTCCATTTAGCTACCGCGACGAAAATAAATAGCGCATGACTATTATTCAGTAGAATTTTATTGTCACGTGACTAACAATCAGACATGCGAAAACATAGAGCAGTTTCTGAAGAAAGCCGCCGATTATAAACGCTTTATATAAATTCATGATTCTCTTGTTCATCAAGCTACATGCGTGTGATGCCAAGAGGGATTAGGAAACAGAGGTGACGTACAAACATAAAACTAGAGAAATGAAAGGTTTCATCGAGATAAGAGAAGGATTGATTGCGTTTCTTCGTCGCCATTACAAAGTCAATCTTTTGTACATGCGTTACAACGCCGAGCGTCGTACAAGGGGGTATTTCTCGGCTTGATTCGTAGCATCGTATCAGCTAAGATTCACTAAATCTACAAATATATATTTCTACAAATTTCGACCAGGTCGGTCTCGATACACTTTCACTCATCACAGTCGCGCATCTCACTATTTAATTAAGCTGTGTGCACTGCATTATTGTTGGTTTCTTTCATTTCTTTTTTTGTTCCAAAGATAACATCAAGTAGAAGAGTCACAGCAGCTCTGAAACCGATATGAAAATGGAACGGAACCGACATTCTCCACTGTAATGTTCGTGTAACTTTAAGAGCAGCGAAAGCACGGGTTATGCCGAGAAGGCACCGCAGCCAGACCTATTAAGATGGTGCATTAGGTCCGCTTCGGCCGCTTGCATACAACACTAATGCGAGGAAATTTCGAAGTATGTGTAATCGTGATTGGAAAAATTTGTATTTCGTTCTCTTTTGTACAGCAATTCCTGTCGCCGCTGCCGTGCGGGGTAAACACGTTCTGGAGGACAACGATCGTTTGCGAGGTATACTCGGTATGAACGAAACGAGCTTATATCGTTTCCTTTCGACCGTCTTATAAAAGCGGGGTTGCATCTCAACATTTGCACACGCTCGCACGAATTTTGAATAAATACGTCCAAGTAGCGGGGCAAAGAGGGGACTTATAAACCCTGTGCTTTAAGTTTGACGGTAATCTTGAAAGACTGGGGGAGATACCGTTCTTTTGTGCACGTTTACAACATGCCGAAACCTTTTGAATAATTGATCGCTTTCAGTAAACGATCTTGCAATTTCTCTATTGTGCTGTAGTCTGGCAACAGTAATACATTGAAACATGTGTGTGCTATTGGTAATCTGAAAAGCAAACAAAATTGTTTGCATAACAGTCAATGGAGAAAGTAACTTTCTATTGTATGTTTCAATTACTATGAATTCATACCTATCAGAATCTGGACCGTGTCTCGCAATAACCATTTTCAGCCTTGACAACCCGCCAACCGGTACTCTGTCACTTCCAGTAGTAAACTGTAATAATCGTCGTTGACTTTCCGGTGGCAATGAATGAGCAACTCGCCAAAAGTTACGTATTGCTTCACTGTCCACAGTGTAACCACCTTCATACTCTGTTGCTGCTTCCAGTTCCGCAAAATCGAAAACTTTACTACCACAAACCAGCTATAATAACGATAAAGATCAATTGATTAAAAAAAATCACACATTGAATCAGACAGAATGAGGTTAAAGAGAAAGAAATGAATATAAGTATTATGGCAACATCGTTTAGCGCATACTTGTTCAATTTCTTCAGGTCTGAAAAGTAACGCCAGTGGGCTCTCATCCGTAACCATTTGAAAACCACGCCTGAACGCTTTGAACTGCCTTTCTACTGATTTATTAAGTAAGAAGTCCGCATAGAGATCGACGAATTCTTTCTTGTTTTCTTGTGTCACGAACAGTTCGTCACCATTCTCTTTGAGATCGTGGAAAGATATGAAACCGAATACATCCCTAATATCCCACAGAAGATATTAACTTCTTTGATATAAATGCTGTAATGTTCATTGATCTGATTTGATCTTACTTGTAAGCTACTCTGAAGGTTTGCATGAATGTATCTGGCATATCATCCCCAGTGTATTCCATCAATTCTTTCAATGTCCTATATAACGTAGGACTCCAGTCTTCTAAATCGGCGAAACTACCTTTCCTACCAAGCAGTTTCCTATAGACAACCATGGAAAAACGCACATCAAGAATTACGTTGTTGTATATCGCTAGGCCAAGAACAACGCCTATTAACGTAAAATGTGCGTTAACTTCGAATGATGTTGGATTGAACCATGTCATTTGTGTATCTTCCTAAAATATAATAACAAACGTTAATAAAAAATATAAGTAAATGAAATATACATCGAATATAATGATTTGGAAAAGTTACATTTTTTTATATTTATCTTTAGTTACCTGAGTTGTGAACATGCCATAATCAGGATTAAAAATTTCTTCTACAATTAATTGAAAAAATTCTTTGGAAACTCCTCCTTCATCGACTCCCTGTTCCCCTTCAAATTCAACGACTAATTGTTTTTTAAGATCTGATGGATTTTCCATCGCAATCATTTCCAATTCTACTAACGCATCATCTATAAGACGATCTCTTCTTACCTATATATGTATCCAAAAAGGTAATAGGTTACGAAATTAAATCTGTTCATACTGCATGATATAAATTATTTCTATCTTCCATTTTAATGGTAAATTAAACCTGAAATAAAACAAATGAAACATATACATACCTTTAGTCTTAAGTATGGATTAGTAGGTTGACCAACCACAGTTTGCAAAAAGCTCATCCGACGTTCACTGTACATTCTAATACGATTATCATAATATAAGCCTAGCGTTTTAGTAGCAGGTGTAAGAATAAAAGCATAATTCATAAAACTAAATTTCATGGGCTCCTCGCTTTTGTAGTATGCAAAGTCTTTATCCATTTCTATAGCGTCACTAAGAGGTTCATTATAAAAGTCCATAAATGGTATAAATGGTTTCCGGGCATCTAATGCTGTAATTCCAAGTTCTTTCGCTAATGGATCCTTCAAAAAATTTAAATCGTCGTTATAACAAAATATAGTACATTTTACGTTTTGTTTTTATATTATTACCTGAGGAATTTGTGAAGATCTTCCAGACTTATCGATACCAGCGGATTCGCCATCTTCATCTAAATGTAATTCAGGTTCATCTAATTCACCAGCTAGCATACTTGCATAATACAGAATCTTCATAACTTTCGTAGGAGCTGTAATAGTGTCTGCATCTTGGACACAATAATCTCGTGTGAAAGATCCACCTATTACTTTCACAGTTATTAATTCCTGTAAGGCTTGCAAAATACTCGGAAGTCGAGATTTACAATGTTTAGCCCATACACGAGCCAGTTTTGCTTGTGCAACAATAGGAAAACAACTGAGTGCTTTACAAAGCATGTGAAGAGCAAGCTCCAAGTATTCACTATTTCCTAGCATTGGAATTTCAAATACAATGAGAAATACATTTAACAGACTGTCCATATTATCCCATGGCATGATACGAAATACTCGTAAATCTAGTTCAATGTTATCTGCCAAAGTCACTAGTGCGTTAACTAAAGCAGATTCAAAGGCTTCTCCTAAAGTTAAAAGAATGGATGTATTATCTTCATAAAAACTATAGTATTATATTATTCTTCTAAAATGCAAAGACTGCATAATATAAAAAAAAATTGAATACCTGGCAAGGACCAGAGAGCAGTAAAAGCTCTTCGAACAGCTGGTAAATCGACACTAGTATCATCATTGTTAGGAACTGTTGGTGATGGTTCACTACTATCCTCTTCTTTATCTTCTCCCTGAATAGATCGAATTGCTTCCTTATCCATATCACCTGGTGGTTTCAACAAAGTATCCGAAGCTCTATCAAGAAGAGCGGCTAGTGGAGAGTCATTTTTCACCGTTTTTTGGAAACTAAGGCTCAGTGCCTTTGCACAAGAAAACACTTCTCCCAGAGTACGAATTAATAGAGAATACGATCCTTCTGATTTACATCTTTCTATTATATCCAGAAGTTTTGTCTCTGTAAGATATGGATCTTGCTTTCCTGTTGATAATAAATTAATCTTATTCCATTCCCAGTATTTTTGTAAGTAATTTAATTGTAATAATAAGTAATTACTAATAATAACTATGTTTGTTATGAATCATGCTGCTACTTTAAAGAAATAAAAAACGAGGGATGGGAATAGAACATAATATTTATTAACATGTATACAGCAGCCACACAAGAATTTAATAAATGTTTGCAGTTAAGTTTTTTACACAATAATTTCTTAGAAAACAAGACAAATTATTTGACATCTGTAGTATGATGCGAGTATTTTTCTCTTTGTAAGTATCGTAAGTACAAGTTGAGTATCAATAATTTAGTAACACAACGAGAACTACTTTTGAGTTGTCTCTTAGAGAGAATGTTTCTGTTATACAGATACTTCTTCATATCTTCCCGCTTTCTTGATGATCTTTTTATATTTTTTCGCTTTTTATTGTATTTCTTAGTTGAATTATCATTGTAATTTGGAATATGGATCTTATATCTGTTTAATATTTCTAAGGGATTGGCTTCATCTGATATTCTATCTTTTGAGATTGAAGAAACACATGGATTATGATTTGATTGCAACAAGTGATCTATTGGACAAACTGTTCTTGATTTGTCCTTGGAAATTAAACTAGGTTTTTTATTTAATGTAAATTCTATAAAACTTTTAGGTTTATTCAATAATGTTCCATTAGAAAAATTTTCAATTTGACATGATAAAGCTTGAAACTTAGGATCTAATTTATTTATAATGTTAATCTTTTTATCAATGGTAATAGGGAATACTGATGAATTATTAATTAAAAGAGCAGGATTTCTCATGGTATTTGATGCAATACCTTCGTCTGAACATGTTGGATTAACACTTTTAACTGGTAAACTCTTAGCCAATGATGCAGGACCTGGTTCCAAAGTTGTACGAGCTACTTTACTTGGTTGTGTGCCATCACAAAGCCTAGCTTCTTGTGAAAATAATTGGATAGCCTGAGCTGCAGCTTGATTTGGAGTAAGATTTGTTACCTATTCAAGAGTAAATTGTATTGGTAACAAAAACTTTTTTAAGAAGAATAAAATAATTTTAGACGTGTACTTTTCCACTTGATGCGCAGTTTTGATTGTCGCATTCAGGATTGCCGCATCCATCAGTCAATTGATAAAAATAACGTTCAATCAATTTTTTAGCAACTGCACGCTTCATGTCGCTGCAAGGGCTCTCTGCACCTACCCTAATGATATAACAATACATATTAATTACTATTTACTTAATACCTCAACATATTAAAATTCTACCACTAATTAGTCATTCAGTATGTTTGTTTATAATATTTTATATATTTATAACACAATAAAAATATATTGGAAGCTGGTGTCATTTTTACGATTTACAGGTTCTAATATATTTTACTTTTAATAATTTTAACCTTTCACCTTTCCAAAATTGTACAGTTTCAAACAATATTAATATAATTACACCTCCGACTATAAACTATTGTTAGATACATTGTACGTAAGAACCAATGACGATATATGTTAATATCACGTGCATGCATATACAATAGTGGAATTTCCAATATCCTACAATAGAATGACAAAAACATACACTTTGACATTGAAAGCTAAAGACAAAACAATTATCCACTATAAATCTTCAATGTCACTAATCAACCTGACCCAAGTGTTACGATAAGCAGACAAGATCAAAGTAACGCATGTATCAGAGCTGGATCCCAATAATTGCAATTCATTGAATTAGGAACACATGGTACTGACACGTTAAGTAGTGATTCGCGGTGTTGCCAATTCAAGTGGAAATGACAGTTCGGAAAGAGACTGGGCTCTCGAGGTCGAGCAACGAGACGAGTCGTTGCACCAAAACAAAGCGCGTTAAAAATAACTGTAGGCTGGTGAATCCGTAACGATATTACGTTTCGCGAAAAATCAAAGAAAGAGAACTTCGGTTTGAGAAGAAGATACGAGAAGAAAAAAGGAAAAGGAAATTGAGAATTTTCAACAGTGAATATCGAAAGATGTTCGATGTCACCTGGAAGCGTGATCTTCCCCAGGGTCCCCTTGGCCCTTGGAGCTCATAGACTGTGAATCCACGAAATTTTGCCTCCGTCGTTAGTCGTAACAGAAAATTTCGCCACGATCGCTTCCTCCCTGGAGATTGAAGTTTCTTCGAGCACTCAGTCACTACCACTAAATTTGGTCAGCAGGCCTCCTATCGGCGGCTTTACCACGATGCTACGTTTGTACTACGTATTACGCACTACTTGGTGTACACTTCGAAATAGAATACTAGACGCAAGACAGAGTGAATAGACAGAAAGTAAAGGAGAGAGATAAAAAGAAAGACAAGGATGAAAGAGAGAGAGGGAAAGAGAACCGCAGTTCAGCTTGTATTCAAAGTATATTTGTCCGTAACTCGAACTGAATGTTGTCGTCGAGGTTAGGTACACACTATAAAACGACTGCGCGACTTGTAATGTCCGTGGTCGCGTGGCTCGTTGAACCCGTTGCTACACGAATTTTTAAAGTCAATGTCAGAATATCGTAGATAGAGGAAAAATGAATCGGTTCTTGGGTCTTTGGCTGCTGTCTACTATTCAACACGGACACGGTCAGCTGCGAGTATCGAGACTAACAATTGATCGAACACCATCGATATTTTTCGATATATCGATCACTCGATGCGTATTCGATCTAGATCGGGCGGGAAATATACGAATTTCAATGACCGACAATCAATCTTTAAAGGAATAACATTGTTACAGTTTTCTTTAATTTTCTCAATCATATTCAATGTTAATTAAAATTCACTTAAGAGCAGAAATATATTGAATATTAACGATTCAGTTTTCGTTTTATTTATTCTTTTAATATTTTATCTACATATTAATTTGATGGTTTTTAAATTTCAGTTACTCGACCTTCTAACTTTAAATATTTGCATACAGCATATCTATTTTTCTATAAATAGTATAATAAGATATACTATATTTCAGTATGTCATATGTTAAAAGATCAGAGAATAACAGTGCTATATGAAGTCATGATTTTTGTGATTTATTTTTTGTTAATTTCTTTTTTTCCCTAGTTTTTTTATATTTCCTTTATTTGTTAATAATAATTATAAGTTTGTACGTCATTATATGCACGGTCCGTTCTATTAGCTCTGTATATTTTTTAAATAATAAATTATATATATATATATAAATCATTACATTTAATAAATAAATGAACCATATTTAATTATATTTGATCAGAACAATATATTTATCTTTCCACCAATTTCATATATTTACAAACTTCAAAATGATTTTAACAATCAAGCTGTTAATAATATTTTAATTTTACAAATATTCTCATTTCCAACTCCACTCGATTATATTTTATAAACTGGATATATTATTCACAATGAAATCGTTTCTTTATCGTTAAATTATGTGCAATAGATAATTATTTCTACCAGCAAATTTTATTCGATGCTTTAGCAAACTTAGACCTCGGAAAATGTATGTAGATTATTTCCGCAAAGCTGGCTCTTAGATCGATTCTGTACATCACCGACAAAGTTCTTTAAAGGGAATATTGATTTTGCGCTAAAACTAGCGCGCGTTATCACGGGGTGTCGAGGAGAATTCCTTCTCTGATTCTAGGACAATAAGTAAGCGAGGACCAAGCTGTGGGGCAGAGAGGATAACAACAAGTCATTCGATAATTTTTATCGGTTCCAGTTAAGTGTAAAAAGGAAATTGAGCTTTCGGGCCGAAAGGGAGAGCTGACGTGAACAGGAAATCATTAGTTCGTATGAAAAAGAGTGAAATTATCAATGCCCAGCGGCGCCATTGCCGAGCAAACGTGTGAATAAAGCCGCTCCCTCGGTCACACCTACATAAATACATGTGCCCACTAGATTATACTTTTACGCAGAGAAATTTTACGTTTACAACTACGTGGAGAAATTGCTGTCAGAACAGTATATGAATTGGGGAAGGCATTGAACAACACAAGATATCTTTTTTGTAATATCAACATTGTTTTTATTTCTTCCTCAGTCATTTAAAGTTATCTAAAGCGCATTTCTTGAAATGTTCAGGCACATACCGACACGTGAAATTTTTTTACCAACGTTTTCCATTTAGGCACTATATACATAAAAACATATTTTTCGAGAATAATGCATTCTGAAAAATTCATTCTAACCTTGAAAAATGGGTTAACATTTTATATAGCTGTATTGTATTCTGTTTATCGCGGAGGTAAATAGTCTGATAAGATTTATGGGCCGGAAATGATTCGTTTGCTTACGAATTGCTGTCGAAATCCCCATGGGAGAGTAAAGGACCACGATATCCAGTGTCCTTTTCTATTACACGATAGGTCATCGAACTTGACATCATAGGATTTCGTTCTGTGGGAGCATGTAAACTACATTGTTTATCGATCGAATCGTCCATTCATATCTGTGAACAAATTGCGTTATATTTTATCATTTTGCACCATAACAGAACGCAGTCATTGTACTCGCTACATTGACTGGTCGATATTCGTGTACCAGACAAGAACACTGGATATCACGGTCTTTTACTTTCTCATGCAAGCTTCAATAGCAATTTGCAAGCAACCGAATCATTTTCGATCCATGGTTTCTTTTAGGTTATTTACTTATACGATAAATAGAATACGATGTAGCGATAACAAATTTTAATGGGCAGAATCATTAGATATGATATATAGATATTAATATGAACACCCTTCGATTTAAATGATTTTTTAAGCTGTTACTAAGGGCATGATTTTAGATAACTTTTTCCTTCCGCACGGAAACCTCTAGTTTCCGAGATAATCGTGATAAACTTTCGTTATCACACATTGAATTCTATATCTGTGAGCTTAGCTATGAGACGTCCACAATAATAATAATTTCAGAAAACAACAGTAAATTTTATTCGATCACGCTATCGATATTGTAGGATCTTTACGTTATAAATTACATTAAAACATTACAAGTTTTATAAATACATATTTATTTTACATAGCTGAAAAAAATAATAATAATGACATTCCTGATAACAAAAGAAAAATTGTATTCGGTGTCACTATCGTTAGTGTACGTAATTCAAATCATTCAATCGTTTTTTCATAGAAAACAAACACTACGAACTTTCTTATCGGCTTAACTGTTATTGTTTACAAATTTTAGGAAAATATATTTCTTGGACGCACGTGAATTCAGATCGCGTAAATTGATTCCGCGTATAAACAGTATACACCGTGTGAATAGCGTTATAATTTATCGCGTAAAAGGGGTGCAGCGTGAATGGAGGAGGGTCAGGTGTATATGCATATGCGCGTACACAACGAAAATCGGATGTAATGCGGACGGTCGGTTACCAAGTTTTTAACTTGACACTGTAATTTAAAGTTTCAGAAGATCATTCTCGGCGGAGATAGCTCGGACCATTTAGCTGTATGATCGAGAGTCGCTGATTAGACAGAAATTGGTGCTCCAGCAAGCAAGGTGTCATCAGTAATTTGGTGGCAAGCCAACTACTCGAGATTTTTTCGATGATACGCGATTATATCTACGTGAGATCTGAAATATGTCAAAGGTTCATAACGTTGTCTCTGGAATCGCGATCGTACAGAAGACGTTACTTCCAGTATCAATTGTTTCAACGCTCTTCAATCTTTTAGTAGCTTATTAAAGATACATCTTTATTTTTTAAAAGAAACTCAAAAGTCTTGGTAAACACTGGAGCAATAAAGGAGCTGAGATAAAACGCTTTCGTATGATGAAGCTTTAAAGTTAAGTTTGTGGAGGTTTCTAATGATTTTAAATATTACTAACAGTGTAAATTTATAATTACTTTTAAAAGGAGCTGGCGTGTTACATCGTTAACGTTACACCGATTTTAAATAACAACAATCCTCTACATAGTCTGACGATTGGCAACAGTACCGGGAAATAATTTATTGATCATTTCTATACCGTTAATTTTTCAATTACTTATAATTTGCTCATTAAGGATTCAAGGTATTCAAAGAATCATTTGTGGGAAAGTATCTTTTAACAAATTCAGTGACATAGATTACATTGATCGCACGTTCAAGTAGAGTTTAGCTTCACAATTTTATAACAATCTGTAAAGCGTTATGAACAAAGTAATGTAACGTTTTATTTAATAGAATTAACTTGAATCAAAATCTTAGTTATTAATTTCAATTGTGTAAAAACCATTTACATCGTGTAATACCTCTTTCAGTATCAAATAACTTTTACAAAAACATATTTTCATAATTTCATCATTCCTTATAACCATTTTCTTTCTCTAAAAACGCATTTGCAGGGACAGTGATTAGAAACTAATAAATAGTGGAATGATATCGAAGCAGAATTTAATAAACCTCAAAAACACTTGAAAATAACAACGAAGTCATCACTAGAAACAATTTTCTTAAGAGTTCTCCAAGTAAATCCGTATTTAATTTTCGGTTTCTTCGTTCAATTCCCGACTTCGATTAATTAAAACAAAAATACTTACCCAGTTCGTCACCGACGCCAGCGGTGGCCATTCGAAAGATGAATACGATAATACCCAACGGAACGGATGCACTCGAGATCGCGAAAGGAAATCGTTAAACCCTCGCAAGGTCTCATTCAATTAATGATGCAATAGGGGCAGAAGGGAAAAAACGATCTATCCGTCTCGGGTTGAATCTAATCTACCAGCATAGTGAGACCTATTCTTACCGTTATCGTTGACAAAGCAACTCGGACAAACCGAGGTAAATAGTGACCTTTTCTCCCCTTTCCGGTCAAAAAAAAGAGGTGAAACGGCGGAGAGGGGTGGTGTGGAAGTGATAGAGATCGGGAAGTAGAAAGGTACACGGATTTACAGGACCAGAGGTCGCTTGATAGGGGATGAAGCTTCCGCTTGGATGCGGCCGAGTTTCGATCAAGGCCAACTTTGCCATTCGTTTACCACCCACCAACCTTTTCACTCGGCCCTGCTTCTCTCTTCGTTCCTCTTTGATCCTTCCATATCACTCTCTTAGCACGCCTCTCTATCACCCTACTTGTA